ATGGACATAAAATGCACTCACCACTCAGGAAAGGAAAAAACCCTAAGTATCAATAAATAGTTCAATAAAAACCATCTGCTCAAAGCACAGCAATGATAAAAGAAAAGTAAACTCTAAGGATACATAAAAAATTAGACTGTAATACTAGAATAGAGTGGGTGAGTTTAATAGCACAACAGTTCCTATGTACATACAAAGCTTATGCTGACACAGTTAGTTCTTTATATTTGTACAAGTGAAGTACAGACATCTTGCCTAAATTTGTCCTCCTACACTCATACACTTCCAAGTGAATTCAGTGTAGTATCTAATAGAATTATTTAATTTTCCTTTAGAATTGTTTAATCTGTGTAGGCAGACAAAATTTACTATTAAGAAAGGAAAAAAGAATAATGATATTTCTTCTTCTTTTACAGTATCACATTTAAAAACAATAGAATTAAATTACTCATCCTTTCATAAACAAAACCTGGACACATTAATATTTTCAGTGTAATCTGGAAATCAAATTTTTGACAACACTACTGACATACTTGGAGAGGAAAAAATGTATTATCGAAGAAAACTAAACATCATGACACATCTAGTTTATTTGAAGATCTTAAACCATTTTGTTTCATAATATTCATATGTTACCTTCCAAGGGTAAACACTCATGGTACACTGGTGCATCAGTCAGAGTATGAATCACAAACCATTAGAGCTTGTACTTCTTTTTATTCATTTTATTTTGTTTTCTAAAAGGTTAATGTACATGTATATACAGTTCAAAGAACTTCAGATATTTTTAGAGAAATCAATATCTTTCCTGTGACTTTACAGTAGTGTTAGAGTTCACTTTTTCTTTATTTCTACTAAAAAAAAAAAAAAAAGCCCACAAAAACAAACAAAGGAATTTTCCAGTCTTCATTTCTCAGAAACAATTTATGTGCTGTTTTTCAAAATATCATTTAAAAGTCTTGCATATAATTCCTTGGGTAAATGTTGCTGCTCTCCCTTGATTCTTTCCCAGAAAGGCTAGCTGTGGACCTTGCAAATTTGTACTCAGTTTTATGTTCTACATCTGCTTCAAAAAACAAATCTAAAAATCTATAATAGAACAATTTCTTTACTTTATACCTTATTTCAAACACCTTTCTGGCTTTCTTCATTGTAGCCTATTTTATATTTCAAAATCTCATCTTGCATGTGCACCACCTTGTTTTACAAAAGGGCATAGCAGAGCCCCACTAAAGTTGCAAAAAAAAAATAAAGCAGCACGTTGATTATGAGGTTTTGTACAAGCTACAGCTCAACTGAACAATAACAAAAACACCCTCAGTGGTTGTGTGGTGTATGAGATAGCAAAATAGCCCAAGTATTCTTCAATAAAATGAGCTGTCTGCCACGATTTATCTGTACAATTCCATCACAGCTCCTGCCTCTTATGTTACACTTTTCAAAAGTATGTCATTAAGCTGCCATAAAAGTCATCACAAATTGCTTTTTCTCCCAAACTGATAATAGACTTATAGATCTAATTTTCAATCTCTTTTCTTCATTACTTTGATTCTTAAGGAGAGTATGACATTTGCTGTCTGAATACTTTGTAGTAATACCAGGCATCTCTACAACACTTCTGTCTGAGTATCTCTGAGCTTTTTTGTCTTTACAGTGCCTTGAAATGGTGACATATTTATTTGTCTCTATTGCAGACTTTTAAAGAAATTGTTTTTATAATTACACTGAAAAACTACAAGACTTGTCGAAAAAAAATTGACACAACAAAGCCTTCAGTCCTGTCAAGCTATGCCATTAAAATCCTGACCCTTTATAGTACAAGAGCAAAGAGCAAATGTGAGGCCTCCTGGTTTTCATTCCAATTTTTTAGCTTCATGCACTGTCCTCTACACAAAACATGAGACTGCTTGACAGAAATAACTAAGTAATTTAGAAAATTTCAACAAATTAAAAATTAGATTTTGATTCTTATGGTGATTCCTCCTCATTTTGAACCAGTCAGCATATAACCTTGTTTTTGTTCATATAGGGCTTTATATGTATCAAACTCACATTCAGTGCTTGAAACTGGCTTTGCTAATGAGCTAAGTGTATTTGTGACAAAAGCTAGGAACAGGCTGGTCTAGAAAGTAGCTTGCAGGGTTAATGAAAGTAACATAGGAAAAGATCATAGGAGCAATGATGGAAAATCAGGGTGAAGGAGAAACAGAGAAGAAAGGAAGTCTCTCTTTTATTATTTCACAACCAAATTTTCCCATTAATATGCAGCAAATTCCACTACCCAAGTAGCCTCTAATGATGTAGGTCACTTTCTAAGCACTTGACCAAATACTTAATTACCCTGTCCCAGGCCAATAAAATATAGATCTTACATCAGATTTTTTCAGCACTGATCTTCAAACACTCCACAAATGTGCTATTATGCATCACAGCCAACCCCAGAGACACAATAACTCACTCTGTTTCACCCAAAAGGGTGATGACAGAGCTAAAAATAGAGACCATGTTCCTCAGCCCCAGATGTACTACTTCTACCATGACACAGACTCTGATATTTCTTTGAGAATAACCCAAGTCCAAACTGACAATTAACAGTCACTTTACTTAGACAAAGAAACCTAAACCATTCTACATTGTCATAACACAGGCAACCACTACAGCTCTAAAATGCTGTGTTTCAAGACATGCAAAGAGGTCTTCAGAGCAGTTATTGAGGGTGTGCCTGTACTCCACAGCAGCAGGACACTTCTCAGACTAATTAGTTCATGTGGAGCTTCCTTGCTATATTCCTTCTGAGCAAGCTCATTTATCTTCATATTACATTATACAGTGTAGATACATCCTCAGACAAATCAATTACTCTAGGTAAGGGATACACACTTGCTGAGGCAAAAAGCAGTTTAAGAAGCATTATTATGAACAAATGCTCCCACTGTATAACCATTGCTATTTCTAGTTGACTCCCAGGTTTAAATTCTTCATATATCAGAATGGATTCAAATTGAAATGGGAAAAAATGCAGCGTTCTGCTTATATCAGAAAAAGAAATACATCAGTAACAGGTGAAGTTTGGCAAGGAGATGCAAGACTGTCTTTCTCCCCTAGCATGAGGGATGTGATTTGCTGATCTTCAGAAGAATTAGTCTGAACAAAGAAACATCAAATTACAAAAAATATGCTTGCATTGGAAACAGGCTCAAGTTTAGCAATAACTTTGCCACATGCTTTGCCTACACTGAGCATGTTTAAAGGGAGTTTTTCCTTTACACACCCTCTTAGAGCCTGAGAGCCCTCAATTCCCAAGACCTAAATCTTGATTCACCCTCTCTGCGGTCAGCAACTATCTGTAAAACTCACTACAAGGTATGCATTTTCACATTCCTCCAACACCAGTTTGGCACAGAAGAATCAGAGTTTAAAGCTCACCTTGTCAGTGATTTTCACAATCACATAATAGAAAGTAGCTGGTATAAAATGTGCACATCCTCACCACCCCAAGGGACACTACCATATAAAGTGAATTCTAATGGTCAAGAAACTCTCTCCCTCCTGCACGCTGTTATATTGCTTTCAACTAACCAATCTTACTGTATTTTTTCCAGAGGATCTTTACCCTATTCTAAGGATAGTGCAAACAGAGCTGAATGAGCACTCGCTCAATACCTCATTTAATCCTCACTGTTCACTATGTGGTACCTTGCTGAAATTTACAGCATCTACATGTAGAATGATAACTGGAAAACCTCTCATTTCTCTGTTGATCATTATCAGGTACTGGAATTATTTCTTTATAGTAACTACTCCCCAGCACCTCCATCAGACAATTTTATGGTTCTTTTTTCAAGGTAGCAAACTGGCAGACAAGTGATGTGCATCAGGATTGCCCATAATTAGAGATGGTTGACTTGAAATACTTCGGGTCTCTCTTCAGAGGATAAAGCAATTAAACAGCACTTTGTCAGTGCAAAGTACAACTTCAATCTCTTTCAGTGCTATCGTGTTTTTTCAAAGCTGACATTAATCGGTCCCAAGAGCCTGAACTCAGAAAATGAGAAGTTCACAACTAATGGTCATATTTAAAACATGTGGTTGAAGTGAACCACCCAACCTCACACAAGAGTTCTATGGCTGAATTAAGATTTGCCTTTAACCCTTCAGAACAGCACCCAACAGCCCCAGGTGTAAATCCCATCTGTCAGTGTTAATTCTCTCCTTTCTTCACCTACCATGTCTCCTCCACCTTCAGCAGTTATGAGGAAGCAAATCTAAAGGAAAGAAGCTCATTAATTAGCACAGTTGGATTAATTTCCTAAATGCCATTTACCTGGCCTCCCTGGAAACAGCAAGTGCTTTGTGGATAAAGGAAGAGCCTGAAATTACACCAGAATATGCCATTTTAAGGCAGAAATTTATCATGATCAAACTGAGCTTATACCAACAACTTCTATTCCAGCATTTCCTATCTGTTGAGAACTTTGCATTGCATCACTGTCAGGGAACTCCGTGTTCCCTGAATTTTCTCTTCATGCAGTCTCAAATAACAATATAAGATTTAAATCTATGTTTGCTTGCAACATTTGCAGCTTCAAGCTTGAGAAATTCCTACTACAGAACCTCTTAATACTGAACACATCCAAAGAATCTCCACAAGGGCATGACTTCATTGCAAATCTATTGGTCAGTGCAATAACTACAACACAGCACAGGAACATTACAGGGTTAGGACATAGAGTGCAGCAGCCACCAGAAATCTCCCAACACTAATTGCTATCAGAAACCTTCGCATCACCTCAGAAAAGGGAGTTTCTTTCAGTTTCATCAATACCAGCACATATCACTATTTTCCTTGTTTGATACCAAGACAACACCCAAGCCCAAATTCCAGAATGCTTTACAAACCACAATAGCATCCCATTTCTGTCACTGCTTTGCCACTTGAGATCATCATAAATAAATACTTGTTTGAATGCCTGTTTAAAAAAGCCAAAATGCAAACTCACCTCATTCCCACCAACAGCTTTGGTTAAAATTACAGCAGAAGACACGGGAGGTGGCATGCAGCCCACTGTCTGCAAGCTGAAAACAACAAAAAGAATGTTACATTGTTTACAGGAGGCAAACACTAAGCAACCCACAACCTTAAACCACCAAATAGCAGAGCAGAAAGTCTCATCACCTGTGCAGTGCAATCAGTTCCCAATCAGTTACAGCCCTGCACTAGCAAGGGCACTCCTGCTGGCAGCATTTCTATGCCATCTCTCACCAGTCACTACAAACACTTAACTGCTGTGACTTCACTTCCCCACCTAAAGGACTGTAGCTCTCATTCACAAAGGTGTCTATACATCTATCACAGACCTCCAGATAAAATCATCAACAGCTTTGTCTTACACTTTAGAAATCCAAGATACCCCTACTATTACTGTCATTTTTTGGCATTGTTAGTGCAGCAAAGTTATTGATGTGTACAGTAAATGCTGCTGCAAAGTAAGACAAAAGTGGTGAGTTTTCCTTTGTTTTTAGAGATAGTCCACAAAACCATACCACAATAAATTTCAATTAAATTTGGGGCTAAGTAAAATAGGGCTTTTGAAAAAAAAAAAAAAAAAAAGGTTGACTTGAAAGGAACAGTAATACATGTAATAAAATAGATTGCAAAATCCCCAAAAGTGTGGAATCTAGATATGATTTCAAGTATTGGAGCTTGAGATTCTAATTCAGAACAATCAATTACTAGTGGTGAACTACTTTGCATTTGTAACAATTTCAGTAGAACCCCCAAGAAAGGCAGTGTCAAAAAGCTGTAGCAAACAGAAGTGTTAAATCCAGGCACCAGGGTGCACATTACAGTGCAATTGATATTCTGCAAATATACAAAAATCTTAAGGAGAAGAAACAGGTAAGTGACAATGACAGTATTCCCTTTGTCAGACACTCTGGGAAAGGAAAGAGGCAACCAATGTAAGCTTGGTATAAATCCAACCACAAGGTGCCAAGCACCACCTTGGAAGCACAGAGCACCTTCAGTTTACAGTGATATAAGCTATGGCAGCAGAGCTGTCAGCACATGGCAGAACAAGCTCATATTGAAAAGAAATACAGGAAAAAGAAATGGTGCAGGAAGGTTTGGAGACATATAGGAAAATATACAGCAGACAAACAAATACATGGCAATTCTGATGTCCATGCCCTACACTGTGATACTTTTATCTCTCTTCTATGTGCCAGCCAGCTCCTCAAACTTCTCACCTGCTCTAATAAGGAGTGGGTTAAGTTTAGAGTTATCCAGAGAGGTACAAAATGTGTACAAGGGAATTCATCTCAGCTGGCAGGGATTTTCCATACTATAAGGGAAAGATTTAATCATACAATCTGTTAACCTTCTCAAATTGAAAATAACACGGTTGGAATTAAAAATAAAAATCCTTAGCAAGCAATATTAATCTAAAAAAACCTAGTACACACTAAATGGACATAGTTTTAATTGAGTGTATTGAAACATGCATCTGTAAACTTTTTTTTCAGTTTGTATCAACTACACAACTCTATCAATATACAAACAAATTCCTCTAATGCCCAACAAACTACTAGAGATAATAACCAATCAACTAATATATTCCACTGGATCGGGCCATGCTATCAGTACTAACATCAGGGGTTCAAACACTGCTGTTCGTTCTGCTGATAGCACTATAGACTACTAAGCAGTAGGGTCTGAAGTCACATGTTCTAGGTGCAAAAGCTCCAAAGTCGTACTTTATACCCAATCTTTGCATCTCATGCCTTACCACTTGTGCTGTAAATGCTATATGCTAAAAGTGGAGGTGAATCTGTGCATACATTAATAACCTGCTTCATGCTCCTTTTCAAACAGGTGCTGTCAATGCAAAACCTGGGCAGCTAACAAAAAAAAAGCCTTGGGAGGATGTCACTTTCTCCTCTATTTTATGCATTTCGAAATAATTGCAAAGGAAAAAATCTCCTAATATCATCCCAGACAGAGAGGGGCAAAAGAAAAAAATCCCACTCAGCTGTAGAAACACAGGTGAAAAGCTGGTACCACCTGAATCTGCCTCTCAAATAACACTTAAAACAAAACAGACCATTAGAGAGGATAGGACAATCTGCCGTGCATTCTGATGCAAGATGGAAAAAGTTCTGTGGGCTGTGCCCTTCAGGCATAACCTTGGAGCAGTGGAGAACTGCAGTGCCCAGGGGAGCCACCCTGCCAAAGGGTGCTGCATGCCCTTGGGAGCACATGCCTGTTTTTCCAGGCCTTTTTGATGGCTATCAACCAGCCTCCACTACCTGCCGTGCTAAATGTGTGATAAGGAAGTAACTTTGCTGCAACCTGTCTCATTCCCTTCCCTGTTTCCCTTAGGTATTTTAGCGTTTCCAAGGGAATAAAACTACAGCTGTGGGGCATTAGGATGAACTTTAGTTTACACAGAGCTGCCACAGCACACTCCCTCACATCAGCTCCTTACACACACACAGGGACCTGATTTGAAAGGTGTCATTCTAGAATTAGGACAGAGCTCAGTACCTTCTGCACCTGCATCACACTCTACAGCTCCCAGTGCAGTGTCTGCTGCTCTGAGCATGTCCTGAACAGCAGAATTTCTCATGAAAGCACTCTTAAAAATAAACCCAACCAAACCACCTTAATTAAACTCCTCAATCTGATCATTCTTTCCATGAAACCTCAATACAGCAGAGTTACTGCACTAAAAGGTAAAACAGCCAAATCAGATGCAGTATTCAAGGAACAAGTGCTTGAAAGGCAGCTTGAAGCAAACAGAAGTACAGCAGCTCACTAGTAAGACACAGACACACTCTCATGAAGAATGAGCCCAGTTTAGGCTCCACATTTAGAGAGACAAATGTATTTCTTTAGAGAGACAAAAGTATTTCTTTTCTTTACAAAAGTACATACATCCTTAGTTTTACAGGTGTGCATGCATATACATACAATTATACTCATGCATGCAACAGATCATGTCACTTAAGTACTAAGAACCAAAGCAGGACAAGGCTCATGGGAAAGAAAGAATGAGAAATGCTTCATGGAAACAAACACCCCACAAAAATCTTTCACCTTGCACTTGAGAAACTGAAACTCCATGGAATAGGAAGGAATTTTGGCTACAGTGGAAAATCACATACCTGTCCTAGCTGAGAAAAAATTTCACACTTATTTTACTTTAAAGAATACCCTTTACTACAAATAGCTAAATGCAAATTAACATCATATAGCAATCTTGTTATTACCTTGCTTTACTGACACTGTTAAGCAAAAGATTGTTAACTTTAATTGATGTTGTCTCAATGTCACTTTTTTACAATCATTTGGACCAATTCACACTTGATGGAGCACCAGAAGAAGCCTCTTACAAACAAAATGAAATGCTCCTTTAGGTTTAGGCCTTGTAGAAACATAAACATGAGCAGCTTTTTCATTAAACTTTTAAGACAAGGAACTCCCCAAGCAATGTTTCACCAAGCTGTAAGAAACAATGGGGATTCTTTCAGTAGTTTTCTGAAATAATTGATTTTTGCACTCAAACATTCCTGTATACCTGCATGGCACTAAGTATTGATCTCCCATTCAAAAAAGAAAATAAAACTTTTAACTTTTTTTACTTTACATAGCATCTATCCCCAGTACACCATCAATGCAGCTCTACACATTGGCAGTGTACACCCAATATTTAAAACACATTGTTTTCAAGGTAACTTAGTTTCTGGTCATCACAAAGTTCTTGTCCTACAAAAATTTTACTCTTTTTTTCCCTCCATAATTTAGCTGGAAGCAGATACTGGACCCCTGCAAGAAATGGTCAATACAAACTACCTAAAAACAGAAGACCAGTATATGGTATACACAATATTTATTCACTGATTTATGCTTTTCCTTCAGCATTCCTTTTCTTTCCTCCCCACCTTCCTTGAGACCCAACACATGACTTCAGCTATGTTTTGTGAAAAAGAAAGCTAACCTGTTGCAACCTCCCTACACATAAGACTGTCCAGACTTTTCTAAAAATGAGACCAGGTTCCTGAAGGGATAATCTTGTGCATGTACTTTGTTTTCTACAGCAAAGTGCTGAAGCACAAAAACAACCAGCAAAATCTCTTCACAATACAACAAAACACCAGTTGCAGGATAAGCAGCCCTTTAAGATGACAGCTACAAATATATTTCACTCCATTATGCTTAAACATACCCTTTTAAAAGCCATTCATTTATAGGTGTGATTGATAACAGCTGAAGAAAGACCCATATTGCTGTTGGGAAGAACACAAGTGTAAAAATCTGGACAAAAAGGTGTAGTTTCACATGCATCAAAGCACTTGTCAGCTCCTGCAAAAGAAAAAGAAGAGAGGAAGTTGCAGTCATAACAGCTGAAGTAAAATCACGTTTGTGCTTTTAAAACTAGGATCAGCTTTATAATACAAAAGGAGTGCATGTCAAAAAGGCACCTTTAGGGATCATCTGATCTCCTCTTTAATAATGAAGTACATCCAGACAACATAAAAGCTGTCTGCTCCTGGGCATTTTTCCACAAGAATTGTCCACCACTTCAATAGTGTAGCTCTCAGAACAGCAGCTTTTCAGCAGGCAGCCTTAGCACTTTGTCACAGCTTCAAAACCTGTGTTAACTGCACTGATGGCTGTTTACTGACTTTTGATACCAAGAGGCATGAAAACTTGTAGTGAGCACATGATTTCAGGTTCCTCTGTCTAAAGAGAGCCACAAACTGTGATTCTCATTTATACTGTTAAAAAAAAAAAAAAGGATGTTTATGGATGTTTGTATTACCAAGCATTCATTTTGTGGTGTTGAGTTTTTTTCATGTTTGTTATTTTTTTCCTTAACAGCAAAGCAATTTGTAGCAGACTTTGATTATTTATTGTAAGAACAGACAGGAAATAGATAGGAAAAAAAAATTTGGCTGACGAAGAATAACAAAGAAAGAATACCAAGACCGTAACAACCTAAAAACTGTTAAGCCATAAATTTCAGAGAAATAAAGTGTAAAGCACCACTGGAGACTCAGAAAACAACAAAGAAAAATTTAATTTTAAATCATGTAAGAGCACTCCAGAGAGGTGATCAAGTACCCTTAAAGAGAAAAAACTCTTCAGCTAGCTTTTTCTCTCTGTTTCTGCCTTTTCAGGCATTTCAAGGATCTTCTACACAGGTTTTTGAGTACAAGGAAAGAGTCTTGCACATTTTAACTCATTTCAAATCTCACAGACTGAGAATAAAAATTTGTATTCCTTTCTCTCACAGTAACTCGCACTCTTTTCAAATAAACAATGCAAAAGAACCAAAGGCAGTCTTATTCAAAATCTAATTTGCTGGGATTCTCCAGCTGACAGTCCATATGCATTAAACATATCTATTTATCTACAGAAATATCCTTCTAATTTCATATTTTTACAATTGGAAAATACCTTAAAATCAGAGGTTTTAAGGAGACTCTGTGATACTTCCAAAACCAAGACAAAAAGAAAGCGTTATTGTAACTTCCAGGGAGCAAGGAAGGTGACACAACACAGCCAACCAGGAGGAATGCTGTATCAATGGAACAAGTCTTTGCAGATCTAAATTACCAGTCTTGAAACTGTCTCTAGTGATTGCCTTTGAGGATAGTAACAGTTATTTAGAATAGTTATTATTTATTATTATAGTATGCCTTAGACTAGATGATCACAGAATAAACACTGAGGCAAACAGCCTTCACCCTCTCAAACAATTTACAAAAATTGTAAAATTTTTGTCCAAAATTCATCTGCCTCAAAAAAGTTGCTAGAAGCTGCTACTTATGACTCTGTTTCTGCACACCAGACAGAACAGGTTACCTTGTCCTCCCCAGTATTTCACACCCTTTAGGGAGCTTATCCCAGCCTCTCCCTGGCTGCTGTGGGTCCCTGTTGCCATCCAGCCACACTTCCCATAGTCACAGTTAGACTCCTCTGAGCAAATACCCACACAGAGCAAACAGTGTTTCCAGTGGCTTGCCAAATTCCTCCTTGAAATGGATAACTCAAGTATGTGATTTAATTTCTGGGGCCCTACGGGAGGTATTTGCTTTAAAAGAGCAAGCTATCCAGTCACTGCAAACTGAAATAGCATTATATTAAGGTGGAATCAAATGTTCTTGTCAGAGAACACAGAGTATTTCTACAAATGTAAGAGGACCTTGATCACCTCTGGTTCTGAAAGTGTAACAAGGCCATGCACAGAGAGGCTCTTCTTGAATGTTACCCATTATTCTGTAAAGTGATTTCTGAACACATTGGCAAAATTTTTTGAGCATGCACTTACACAGCAGATTAAACCAAAAGTGTAACCTTAAAAGAGCAGCAGTTATTTCTAGTTTTCTCAGATTTATCAGAAGGCCTCTGTTAACACTTATAAACTTTTAATCCTGTCATAAAGCATACCAAACACTAGTTTCCATCTAACTAATCATTATCTAAGGTAGAACATCTGATACACAGGTCAAAAAAAAAAAAATCATAAAGCCAAAAGCAGAAACCATACACTTTGCAATCCAATAAAAAGGCATATTAAGCAATAATACCAACTTTAGGTTGTGCCTTAAACAAATAAAACATGCCCAAAAGTATTTTAATAAAAACATGATCTGGCCACCTAACACATATAAGGATTTTTTTTAATATACACTTTAGAAAGTAATAGCACAAGGTACAATGTGAGAAACTATTTTCTTCTTCTGTCTTCTACTCCCATGGCAGAAATTCAGGAAAGGCCTAGTTTCTTCATGAAGCTGGATAAAAGCACCAGCCCCAGCTGCTGCTCCCAAAACAATCTGAGATCAGCTACCTGGACATAAACATCAGCTCCTGTAAAAGCTTCATTTACATCAATATATTGCTTTTAATATTACAGATGGAAAAAAGTTATGTAAGTTCAAAGTAAGACATGACACATTGCCCAGAAAACAGTCAGTTACATCACCTTAACTGGAAGAAGTTAGATATAAACTAGCATGGAGAATCTAATCAAGCCTTTGACAATGCTACTCATTTCTCTCACAAGGTTTCAAGAATACAAACTAGTGAAAGGGGAAAAAAAATTACATTTTTTTCTCTGCATGCAAAGATTCCTAAGCCTGAAAGAGGAAAACTCCACTCTATTAATACTACTCATATTTAGTGTTTAGGGTTCTCTTCTCTGTGGAAGAGAATGCCTCTCCACAGCCTATTTCCATTAGGATTAGTTACCATCCCAGGCAAACAGTTAACAGGACTCTTCCTGCATCCCCATAAGGCTGCTACAGAACTGGCTAAAATTCCCCAGTTCATTTACACTGTGTCCTGGCAGAACTAGAGGTCCTAGTGCCAGAACTGCCAGGAGACAGCAAAGGAGAGGGCAGCCACCAACTCAAACACCTCCTCTACTTGAAAGCTCACCATTATAACCATGATACAGGTGGAGAGACTTTTTCTGTTGTTGAATGCACAGTGCTCACTCAAATCCCTGGTCACCAGGAGATAACTGGACAAAATTGTGATGATTCTTTCAGGCATTAGTATCATGCAACTTATGAATAGTATTCCCTGTTAGTTAACAGCATAAAGGAATCAGGAAACTAGATTAGCAGAGACATGCAGTGTTTCATTTCAACTCTGGCTGCTCCTTCTCTTCTTGGCTCATAGCCATCATTTCCTTTCTCCATGACTCCTTTACACATCCCTTCATCTCTTCTGAATCCCAGACTGTTCCCCTTTGAATTACACATGACACAAAATTTTAAACAAATCTCAGTGCCTGTCATGTGCACCAGAGTGTAGGCACCTCAAATCCACCTGTCCACAATGAAATCCTATGGGAAAAGATTGCCAAGGCTTTGCACTTGTATATTGACATTGTATCTGCATAGGAACCCTTTTGTGCTGACCCTAGCTGCTGTCCTGGCCCTACCAAATAAGGTAGCTTAAAGCCACCAGGTCTTTGTTTCCCTCAATCCAGCAGTGAACAACTGTATCTCATCCTGATTTGGGTTTGGGACATAATCAGGGTGTAGATCCAGTCTCCAAATTGTGCTCATCACTTCCATTTATTTAAAGCTGTGCAGAGACAAACCACCCACCCTCTGTGGATGGGTGACATTTATTCACACTCTCTTTATCATCATCTCCATTACTTTGTGAAGCACTTTCTGAAATCAGGGAGGAATATTCCTTAAACATCTAAAATCTATCTTCTCTTGCTAGCCATCATCCCAGCATCATCACCATTCCAATTATATTCAAATCTGATCAAAAGGAACACAAGCTTTTTTTAGAGCATAACAGGAATGAAGCAATGAGAAATTACAGTACCTCAGTTTTTAAGGAGAGTCCACTGTTAAAGAATATAGCAGAAACGGCAATGTAAGTTATGGTAATTTCTGGTTTCAAGGGTCCTAAAAAATACAGACATAGAGAACAAAGTGAACTACAGTCAAAGGGATAAGATATGCATATACTATATCAGAGCAAATGAGAATACTTAAAAAAACACCTGAAGAAGGTCTTATCAGTAAAGTCTCTAATAAAAAGAACAGCATTTCTATCAAGTTACAGAAAGCATGCTATTCATTTTTAAATAAAGTAAACCAGTGAGTGCATAGTGAGTTATGTCATCATATAAATTTGACTTCCATGATTAGAGGCCACTGGAAACTCACACATAAATTCTGGAAATTTGAAAATGGGAAATTTTTCACAGTTTTGCCATCAGAGTATCCCTACAGCATCAGCAAACTCAAACAAAAATATTAGCTGGTACCTTCACACAGGGCCACTGACATCCCTCACACAGCTACCTCTCACTTCTTGGCCTACAACACACACCTGTCTGGCTGCCTGCACAGAAGAACCCAAACCACACCTTGCAATGATTTCCTCAGGGCAATATAATTCTGTGTCATTCCCCTCACAACAGAAAATGGTTCAAAATGGTTCATTCCAGCCCCATAATAACACATTTCAGACAGTGCTGCAGTGAGATCAGCAGGGGCAGATGCCTGTACCATCAAGAGTTCCTCTGTATTAAAGGCTTACATTTGTATATATTTATATACATTTTATATTTATATATATTTTATATTTATATACTTTTTTCACTCCTATAAAAATGATGAATTCTCTTAATACACTTTGCCTTCTGAGGCCACCAGGCATAAAATGTATGTGCTCATTTTTTTCATGAGGATTCAACCAGATATTATGTTAGAAAGAAAATATTAGCAGTCTACTTAGGACCAAAGTAATATCCTCACTCTACAAGTGACCCTAAGTTGTCATGAGCAAAACTGCAGCAGCAAACAAGCCAGCCTTGAGTTGCCACTCCAGAAGAGAGGAACCTTTCAGCTCCCTTGGATGAATGATACATTGATGGTCACACTGGAGTAAGGTCAATGATCCTTACATCAGAGGGACTTGATTGTACAAACTTGCATCTCAAGTCATTTCAACCCAAATCCTACTCTCAGAGAGAATTCTGTAGACAAGACACTAAAAGTGTGTGTGCCAAACAAACAAAAAAACAAAAACCAAGCCACATATATGAAGACTGAGGTAAAAATAAGGCAGGAAATGCAAGAGTTACAGTTGCAACAAAGCACATGACTAGTTGCAAAATTATGGCATGTTAACTGAATAGACAGGGAGGGGGGGAAAATCCCCAAAAGATTATACAAATATATAGCTCTATAGAAAACTATATTTTATAGATACAATTACCTCATTTTCCCTAATCCTTTAGAAGATTAGAGTACCTAATACATGCACATACAGCAGACAGGCAGTGGGTTAGTCTGGCTAAGGTAGGGATTCTTCCAAGACTCAGTATTTTCTGGTTTATGGTTTCTCACTAGGCTACCTGAACTCCTTGTCCCAGGAGAAGCCTCTACCACCAGAGCAACCACACACTCTTGGAACACAGAAAAACACACTCCTGGTCAAAACAGAAAAATTCTTTTCACAAAGGAACTAAATGGCCTCATTCATCAAATAGGAAAACACACAAAAATGGCTTGGCTTATGTCGTGAAGGTGACAACAACACAAATCTTTGTTATTTATGGCACAATCTTCCACGGGTATGGATGCTGGACCATCCATACCATTCACTAAGGCCCTGCAAATTACTGTGCATGGCTTTGTCAGCTGGAAGATGATAAACTAAGGCTTTTTTCATGTGTTGATACTTCCCACCCCTCACCTCTTCCTGCTTTTAAAAATAAATATTTTTTTTCCTTAGAGCACTGAGATCCCATAGTTTCAGAGGAGAGGATACCACTATGTGGAACATGTGCTCACTACTTTCAATCAATACTTCCAAGATTTTTCAAGTAAGTTGTCCCAGGAACAATACTGTGTCAAAGCTTGACATCTCTTTGCAGCAGGATAATTTAATGAAGTGCTCCATCATAGTGCTTCCATGCCTACATGGTGAGCCGAGGAAAAATCATCTCCTATTCTAGTTAAAAGGATCTCCCACATGGCTGCTAACAATTAGCACGACACTCAAAGCAGAAAGGGACAAAACACCTGATACTATCAATTTCAAGTCGTCTCTGAGGTCTGCTGAAAACACAGCACGGATGCTGCAAGAAGCTCCACGTGGGTTCTATTCACTTATGCAGAACAGCACACAGATGTTAGAAGGGATCCTTGCACAGCAGGAATTTGCCTACCCTGAACTCCACGAAGTACCGGAGCCTTAGTTGCCACAGCATGTGTTCAGAGCCATATTTTTTTTAATCACTTTCTTTTTTTTTTCCCCAGAACCTAAGAGGTGGGAAAAGTTTGGCTCCTCAGTGAGAAGCTGTCTATCCTCAAACTTCAGCTCTGTTAGGAAGAAAGAAAAAAAATAAATTTAAAAAAGCAACCCTATGCCTATAAAAGCACAGATAGATTCCTCCTCCTCTCACATAACATGGATCTGCTAGAGGAATTCTACTGAAGTGTTCTACATTCCTTTTCTTACGCCATCAGAGAAAAATTAGGAAGAAGAAATACAAAATTTAATTCGTTCTTGAAATCTGTGAACATCCTAGGAGCTGAAGTTCCAATGGAAACTAACGAGGAGACACCCCTGGCGTTTATATTTAAAGATACATTGTTTATGTTTAAATAACCGGGGATATTTCAGCAGCCCTTTTTCCGGGAAACATACAAGCCCTCCCTGCTTTAGCAAAGGACAGATCTGCTTTGCCCCTGCACGCATTTTTTACACCGCCACTTCCCACAGGATCAGTTTCCCTGTTTTTCCCCACCTTTCATGAGGAATCAAGAGGGAACAAAAAAAATTCCAAAACTTCAAACTACAAGCGTTCTACTACAAAGCGAAAGAAAAGGTCTGGCCGAAACACAGCACCTGAGAGTTTACCAGAGCACGCCTTCAGCTGCACCTCCGGGGAAGCTCCCAGGCGGCAGAAATCCATACCCTGAGCCGCCAGGACCTCATGCCCACAGCTCTGGAAGTTAGGACTTAGTTGAACAGGAGCACATTCGGAGCCAGTCGCTACTTAGCTCCCATTCACTCCTAATCCCAAAGGAGCAGGACACTCCTCCAGCCACTGGTACAGTGCCGAGCAAAGGCACGGGAACACACGCGGGAGCAATTCCCGTGTTCCTGAGGAGCAGGGAAGAAGAGGAGCCGATGGAGGGCAGGGACCCCTCCCGGGCGGGACGGGGCGCGGGGGCAGCGCGGCCGCCGGGAGTTGGCCAAGTCCCGGGGGCTGCCGGGGCACAGCGCCCGCACTCACCGCCTTTGACGCCGACGCCGGGCTCCAGCCGCGCCACGGCGATGACCAGCACGATGCCGAGGATGAACCACTCCTTCCGCAGCCGCTCCAGCAGCCCCATGGCGCTGCCCGCCGCCCGGCGCCGCTCGGCGCGGCTCGGCCGGGCTCGGTCCGGTGCCGCTCGGCTGCTCCGGGCTGCTGCGGGCGCGGGGCGGGGCGCGGCCCCACCGCCCGCCGGCAGGGCCAGCCGGATCCGCTGACGGGAAAAGTCTCACCCACCGCCGCCATCGCTACCACGCACCTCCTAATAGGCGCGCAACTCCGCGCTGCCGCCCGCCCGCCCGGCTAGGCGCTGCTGCGGCCCCCCGCCGGCTCCGGCTGCCCCGCCCCGCATCCCCGAGCCGAGGCGGACACCGCGGGTGGCGGTGGCGGGAACGGGACAGCGCCGTGGCTGCCGTCGATGGGCGGGTCGGGGAGAGCGGGGACACGGAGCCGGTGCCAGGCGGGCGGGCGCGGCAGTGCGGGCGCGGGTGTGCGCGCTGTTTTGGTACATTACAACGCCCGCGTGACGGCCGGCGTTTGACGCGCGGGAGGGCGGGCGCGAGCCGGGAGGCGCCCGGCGGGAGGCGGGATCCGGGATGGCTCCGTGAGGGCCGGGGCTGGCAGGGCGGGCACCGGCAGCTGCGCTCCCCGCAGCCCCGGGAGCCAGGAGCGCCGGGGCCGCCGTCTCGTCGCGCACCTGTTACCGCGGTGCGCTCACGGCCGCCCGTCCCGGTGCTGCGCCGCCGCCAGGGACACGTGGATCGGGATGGCCCTGGAGTTCCCGTTCAGCGCCTGCCTGCCCGCTCTGGGCAGACCCAAAGGCACCTGTTCAGCTCCTGTCGCGACATGCCGACAGCATCGCCCGAGCCGGGCCAGCCACTTCCCAGCGGCGGGCGGTTCCCTGGTTTACCTCAGCGCTGTAAACACTTCCATTAAAACAGTATCGTAAAACCTCATCCTGGTGCTCCACCAGCGCTTTCCATTCTCTATTCCCCTCTTGCGGCGCTTCCCAGACGGATTCATGGTCGCGTTAGCAGGGAAACGATAGAGCAGGAGACGCTCTGTCTTCCAGCGGCTGCCGCCGGCGCTGCCCCATCCCGCCGGGCTCTCCCACGCACGGCAGCTCCGCTGAGCGATTCCCGAGCTTTTTGGGGAATTCATCCTGCACAGCCTCTGCTGATGTGTTGAGGCTTCAAGGAATAGCCTTGCCACGGGCTTTCTGCTACCAAGGAAAGAAACGCTTATAGCTGAAAGCCCAGCTGATCCCCAAGATGTGTGTATCCCGGCGTGTCCTGGGAGGTTCGCTTGTGTAAACAGGGACACATCAGAGCCGAAATGTTTGGATATGGGAGGGAACGTGCCTTCTCCCACCCGCAAGCACATCCAAACTGTGCAGTTTGAAATGATTGTACATTTCACTGCTTTACTGAAGTTTACTGCAGCACATGTTGATCCTTGCTCCCTTCTCAGGAGGGAGAGACAGAGCAAAACCTCACTGCACTTGCCCTGGGCAATCACTGCAGGTTGGCTGTTTTGGGAGAAAATAAATGCATAAGGTGTTCATCTAGAGCAAGCTGTGATTATAACGAGTGTAGGATTTGATTGCTGCACAGGAGAGATAAATCAGATGAAGATGTACAGGCAATGTTTATTACATAAACTATATTAAATCTCTCTGTGAATACTCACTCACAGGTGGCCCCAGTTCCAGGACATCTGCACCGTTCATGGATCAGAGCATGCACATCTTTTCCTGTGTGGCATTGAAAGCACACCAGCAAGAGCAGGTTCAGATCATCTGCTCTGATCTGGACACAGCAGGAGACCAGGCAGATGTCCATGGTTTTGTTGTGAATTTGTACACAGCCCTGGAGCTCCTAACAGAGATGGGAAGAAGACTTTTCACCCTGTTCCTAATGCTTCCAGCCAGGCTGATAAGTTGCAAGATGCAGAGGCCTCACACTGCACCAGCAGGGCTAGAAGACAGGAGCAGATTCAGCATAATTCAGGGAAAAAATATAATAATAGAAAATCTGTCTAGGTCAAAAGTTATGCACTCAGAAGCAGCTGAATTTCATAGCGAATGAAAATGCTGCAGTATCAATTCCTGCAGAAGCTGCAGAGGGATGCAAAGAAGGGGCAGGTAAGGAGGATGCTCAGTCTGGCAATAAATTCATTCAGGCAATAAAGACAGCAGTCTCACCCTACGTTTGCATCATAGTTTTTACATGGTAGTAATCCTGCCCCTCACTCTTTGCAGGTAGATATTAATAATGAATTTCTAATCTTGCTCACTGTTCAAGTTAGTTGCAGTTAATTTTGCCAACAAGTTTCAGATATTTGCTCACAGCAGATCTAACCGGCAAAAGTTAGAAACCTCAGGTTCAGTTCTGGGCTCTAGAAGGTGCTTCTCAATTTCCCCTCCAAGAGGTCACTTCCTGTGCACAGTCCCAAGCCTGTTTCTCCTTCTCTAAACAAGGATGAGATATCTCACTGGGTATTATATTCGTAACAGTTAAGAAATATACATACTAAAAATCACAAACAAACAAGAAAAGCCCCCCAAACCAAATGGTTATCAGATATACCAGAACTTCTGTCTATTCAAAATAAAAAGATAAGCTTTAATGAGGCTCTCTAGCTTTGAGTGGACGCTTTGCCTTAAAATTTTTTCTAGGAGATTTGAAGTTTGTAATAAACATCTTTTGCCATCTGAGTTACAAAATACTCGGGTTCATGAGGCTCTCTTCTTCTGTAATCTTTAAAATCATATGCAGATATTCTAAGATGTGTGTTGAAAGACTCGCACAGAGACATTCTAGCTGTTGGGGTTTTTTGTTTAAAGCTGTTGTGTTATGACTCTGGTAAGCATATGTGTCTCTTAGATTAAATAGATTAAACTGTTCCTGCTTTTAAATAAGAGAGGACTCTGTAAGCCCTGCCATGTCCCACCAGAGTGGAGCAGAAGGGAAGAAAATACTACATGTGAATTTTTTAATTGGCAGTACACTCCCACATCCTAAATCTGTCTGCAGGACAGCATCACTGTTGCTGTCAGGGAATTTATCATCCATATGGAGGCATTTGGTCCCTATTAGAGAGGGACAATCCAGCTTCTGTCCTCTCATCCAAAACTGTCTCCTGCAACATTTCACATTCCTCCTCACATTCCTATACAGATAATACATATTCTAATTAGACACCAGGACTCAAACAGATCTGGAATGGTCTGGCACACGTGTATGTTCATTCTCTGTTACGTTGTACAAAAACCTTTTGGGGTATATTGGGCTGTGGCTTAGACATAGTATAGGAACAAGAATTTAGCTTCTCTCTGATTTCACATGACCAAATTTTCATTTTTGTTCAACTGCAAACATACCTCGAGGCTTCCAGATGCTTTCCTGCCTCCAAAGGCCCTTGTGCTTCCTTCTGCATAATACAAAAGCTCTTTGTTGCTCACAGGTAGCCTGCTGAAACCAACAGGACTGTTTGTGTGAGCACGGACTGGTTTTCATGTCTGCAAAGACGCAGGAGTGGACTGGACATTTCTGGGCTTCACATTTTGAACAACCACTCTTGTGTGGTTTGAGCCTGTTCTTTTTGTGTGCCCAGCCTCTGATCTGCACCACATACCTCGCTGCCTGATAACTGCACTGTGATTTTAGGGAATGTGTGAGGATTTTCGTGCTCCTGAGTAGCAGATGTCATTTGATTATGCATTTAGACAGGAGAGATTTTAATATAAAGGAGAAGGGATCACCAGATAAAGGGAGCTTAAACGAGAGGAAGAGATAGTATTAAATAATTTATCTTGAAAAGAACAAAGATATTCAGAATGAACAAGATAAAGAGAGGTGTTAATTATAAATAGGAAAGTTGAGGAGAAAAAGTGGAAATATATGGGAGGCAGTTTACAACACATTTATATTTCTCACAAGCACTTAGTGGCATGATCTCAGATTTTCTCAGAGAAAATTGAAGAGATTGCTGTACTGATCCCGTTAGCTGCATTTCCTCATGGAAGAGGAATTAACAAGTCTTTATTGTGTCTTGGCCTTGGTGTTTATACTGCTTTAGGCATCTGCAAGGGATCTTTTGGTTCTTGCTACTGAATATTATTGAATACCTATAAACACTTAGGTAGTGCCAGCTGCAGGACTTACTACCCTTAGCATAATGGAGTAGCAGAAATTATGTACAGGTTCAGTTTAGAACAGCACTTAATGGGACTTAAACACACATATAAGTGTGCTTTTCTAAACAGAAGCTATGAGGTGATGAAAGGTTTTGTGAATCTTTGGGTTTATTATAATGCTATCATCATTTTTCCCCAGAAACCTTAAATGTAGAATACTCCTTTTGTTTCTGACTTGTAATAAAATGTCCTCTTACGTATTTAGTTATTAAACAAATAAACGATTTTTCTTTTACTTAAGAGCTCAGTGTAGAATTTTCATGAAATAATCTCAGGCATTAGGAAGAAAATTTAAAAGACAACAAGCGAGGTTTTGGCTGATCCCTTTCCTAGAACCTGCTTGTTCTTACCAGAAACAGAACCTGGTCTACTGAAGCTTCACTCATGATATTCTCTTGACTTCTCCTCCTACACTACCCAGAGACGTTATAAATTTAGACAAATTTTCATGTTTAGCGCTTTTTCACAGAAATGCGTTTTCCCAGTAGACAGCAAAGCTATAATGTATTCAGAAGGTTGCATTAAAAAAAAATAAAAAAGGAAAAGAAAAGCTATTGGCATAATAAAGCTGTGCTCTTGATACAAATTATGGGCTTCTTCAACTGCAATTCAAAAACAGAAGACAAAAAAAATATTTTTTTAAAACCTTGAAAAGCTGTACATATTTAAACCTGAAAAATGAAAGCAAGAACAGGAAATAACTTCCCTAGATAATTTCACAATGAACAACTGGATTTAACCTATTAAATAAAAGACTTCAGAGATAGCATGGGGATACCTTCATGTCTTTTTCTCCTTATGCTTACAAAAATAACCTTCTAATATTGTAAAAATCATACCAAAATACCTACAACATGAGAATTTTCACTACAGAACTCTGT